TGTGTGTGTGTGTGTGTGTGTGCATGTGTACTATGTATATACATAATTATATATAACGCATGACGTGTTATAATCAAATTGCACAATGTATTTTGTCATCAAATAGAATGAAATATTGGCTAACGCTTGTTCTAACCAGTATACTATAGAACTGAAAGTGCAATGTTCTCTACGTTTCCTGCAACGCAACCTTGAGACAAAAAGAGCTCAAATACCTGGCCTTTTGTTTCATAAAGTGGGCCAGACAACTGAGAATATTATATACTGAGCTCGGGTGGGATAAACTATCGTGTTCAATACTGTACAGTGAAGACATGAAGAATGAAGACAACCAACCTATTGGTTTTTCAATGTACCAAATACAAATTGCCATAAAAACATTATAAAACACAGGCAAATACACAAGCACACACACACAAATACACACAAACAAACAATCACAAATGATTTATAATATGTGTATAATAATATATGCATGCATGCATCTATCTGTCTTTCTACTTATCAAACGACCACCTGTTCTAGACAATCACATGTAAAAACTATGAACGATTACTCCCTCCCGCCTCCCTTCAGTTTTGCGCTTTTATCCTTTTCATGAAACCGTTCAAAAGAAAAGGACCACCTGTCTAAGATGACCAATTTTCACTCGAACAATTGGTGGTCGTTCTCGACAGGTTCGACTTTAAATAATGTACCGAAAAGTCATCGAAGTAAGTCATACAACGGTAATAATAATAATAAATGACATTTATATAGCGGTCAACCCCGATTAAAGTACACAGGCATTGAGCGCTTTACAATACAGTACAATATACAACAGTAACATAAAACGCTGTGTTCTGACTAAAAGAAAATCACTTCAAATATTCATCTTATTAATTTAAAAACAGAAACGACTTCAGCTGACATTTGAATTGATCAAAAGATTTGATCTCTCTTGAACTGTAATAAATAAATAGTTTCCTCACACCTAGTGCGCACGTATCTGAGTCTGAGTCTCACAAACCGCACAAGAGCGAGATGTTATACGGTCTGGAAAATCACAATAATATGCATTGTAGGGCTCAGTGAAATCAGTAAATTATTTGGGTTACCAAGTCCTGATCCATGCTGCTGACAGTTCTATTTCCGGGTGAAGCCATGATTGTATGATGGCGTTGTGGTGTGGTGGCATGATGGTGTGGTGGCGTGGTCGCGTGGTGGTGTGTTGGCATGATGGTGCGGTGGCATGGTCGCGTGGTGGTATGGTGGCATGAAGGTGTGGTGGCATGGTCGCGTGATGGTGTGGTGTGGTGTCATGATGGTGTGGTGGCGTGGTCGCGTGGTGGCATGA